CAATTTGATACCTGAACTATTATACGGACCTTATATTTGGTCCCTGAACTAAAAAAATTCTTAATTTGATCCTTGAACTATTATATGAATCTCCGATTTGATCCCTATTGTTTATCAATTTGCCCCGAGTTGGTCATTCTATATAAAAACAGTTGATGTGTCTCGTTATTAACGTAATACATAGCCGTTAAGTTACTGTTTTTTACCATTAAATTATTATTTTTCGTTGTTAAATATTAGTTACGTCAATTTTTTTTTTGTACGGAAAGATTAATTTGGGGCAAATTGATAAACAGTAAGGACCAAATCGGCAATCCATACAATAATTCAGGAACCAAATTAGGGATTTAACTTTTTTTTTTTTTGCTAGCTTGGGTACTTTAATATTAATACCATTTTAGCTGATTTTAATTAATGGCACACCATACATATCAACCCAATAAATTTACAAAACGGTTACTTTTTTTTGGGTATTGGTCTCGAAGTTTTAAATGACACCCAGATGGGAGGACTCACCTCCTCTAAACTTTTCAATTAGCAAACAGTCCCTTATTTCTTAAGTTTGAGGCCATGTTATGATTACTTTGGATTAATCCCATTCAATTCCACCCTACCGATCACCAAACTTGAGCTAACTTTTCTCTTTTTTTTTTCTGCTGTTTGCCAGTCACCATCACAATCCATAAGGATTTTGGTAATATCTAAACAGTTTTTAATTCTTTGGGTAGTCTTTTTAGTGAAGACAACAGGTAGTAGATAATGCTTCAAATTACAATAACTATATTGCGAAAAGCACTTCCAAAGTGGGGGCATAGCTATGCCCACACCGCAATTTCTTCGTGAACACACAAATTTATAACTGTATAGGGATGCAACGAGACGCAAAAAGAAGAGTATACATAGGGGCGTTTAGCAGTCCGCGAGAAAGAGAGAGAGAGAGCACTAATGAGTAAATTTTAAGAAAGTAAGTACCGTTTACCTAATTGAAGCTTATTTATAAGCACTTTAAATGTTAAAAGATGATCTATCACTCAATAAATTAAAATTTCAAACTTGTAAAAGAAGTAAGGAAGTGATTATGCACAAGTTAGAAATAAACTTTGCCAAAAACGGTATTTCTTTTGAACAACGAGGATCGTGGAAGATAGCGGAAAATAAAAGGAAAAAATTAATTAGACGATGAAGCAGCATTCCTAACATCTATCGAGACTAAAAGGTCTCATACACATACTAATTTTATCATTTTTACCATTATCCTTTCACTTAAATAATGCAAGTGGACATTATATATAGAAAATTGTTGCATAAACTGAATTATACTAAATTGTATAATTAAAATTATTGGGTGGAAAATAAATTTCTTGATATTAA